GTGAGGTTACTGCATAACAGGATGTCATAGTTCTTTTAACATGCATGACTGATTTTTGACAGTTAAAATGGTTTTTACTGAGGATTTTAAACTAAACAGTTCAATTTATTTTGTTGTGAAACTGTCGTTGCAGTCATCATGAAACAAAGTCAAACCCCTTATCTGATGTTGTACAGTGTGTGTCTGTGTACTCATGAATCAATGAACAGATTTTAGTGAAAGTTTAAATTCACACCTAACTAATTACGTTTTGGAGCCAACCCAATTCAAGACAGCTCCCACAGTCAACTGATTTTAGGAAGGACAAAAGTATTTGCAATTTTATAGATGTTGAGGATTGATCCTGGTTGTACTGTGCTATTTACTTGTGTGTGTCTGTTAGCAAAATATCCCATGAACCTCTGGACAAAGGTTTTAACCCTCTGGGTTAATGTCTGGGATTCTTTTGTTTCTGTTCATATTGGGTTTCATGAGAACTTATTGAGGGAAAAGTGCCCATCATTTTAACACATATTTGTAGATTAGGGATTTGCCACTTTGGTGTCAATATTTTGTTTTACGAGTGCCAGACTAGCTGATCTTTGATTTTCTTTTGAGATTCAACAAACAAATAAACAAACAAACAAACAAATAAACAAACAAACAAACAAACAACTTTGCCACCAATGCCAAAAACTAATTCAATTAAGAAAACAGTGATGCACCAGGGCCTGAAATTAGCTGCGGGATTGTGGGTATTGCGCACATTATGATAGATTCCCGCAAATCTAGTTTTTATAATGCGGGAAATTCCCACATACAATAAATTCCAGTGATGTGTAATAATGTGGACGTTTGCATCGGACTATTTTTAGATGAGAGCCTGTACCRTATAAAACTGATCACCTCGGTCCGTTCAGAAGACACACGGAGGCAGAGAGAGAGAAGGAGAAGGAGGGGGGCTGAAACTCACCTGCCTCTGTACCTCTGAACAAGGTAGTGACAGACCCACAACAGACTTGTCAAGATCTTTGAGACTTTATCTGTAGATCCCAAAAATAACTCAAATGTACCATTTCTGTTTTAACAACACGCACAAAAAATGCCAACAGAAACTGCTCCAGACGCAACTCTTGCTAAAAACAATATATTTCCTCCTCCTGCCCGCAGCACTCTGCTGTCTCCTCCCTGTCCCACAGACACACACGTTTGTTCTTCTAACCTTATGGGGACTTTGCATTGACTTTCATTCATTTACCAGTATTTTGTTTAGCTTATCTGACCCTAAAGCTGGCCTAAACTGTATTCACCTTGTGATGTGGACTGGGACTGGTCTGGTCTTTTGTCTCCATAAGAAACAGTGGGTCCTCACCAGCCTGTTTGTATCACGGAAATCGTCACACATCATCCCCATCAGGTAGCAAAAACATGTGTGTACACACACACACACACACACACACACACATATACACACACACACCTCCCTTCAGTCAGAAACATTATCCACAGTGGTGGGCACCAGCCCACTAAAGCGCAAATCCGCTAATTGCGGACCTAAATATTCCATTTGCGCTTTAGCAGACTTACTAATTTCTATAACTCATAAGCAGATTTGYGCTTTCTAAAATTAAAATGCAGCACCGCTAATAACTAATTATCTACCAGTCATCATTATCTTCAACAGCAGAAGGTATGGCTGTCAATAAATCACAACACACGTGATCTATCCAACAGCACCCCTCCCAGATAAACACGCTTATTGGGAAGGTATACATCCTGCTGACTGTTGCTTTCGGTCACGGTTCTRATTTCCCACAATGCTTTGTGTCTGCTTAAGTAGCAGGAAGGCAATAGCTAAAACAGTAAATGTTTGTAATCCATACTAAAATTTTGTATGTATTGAATTATTTTACTTTACAATCGGAGCTCCTTTTTTAAAAAAAACTAAAGTTTAAACGCTGGAGCTCAATACTTGATGTAATTGGTTGAAGCAACGGGGTTAGAGACGCAGCAATGATTTAAASATGTTATTCTGGTGAAGACAGACATCTAGTTGTCAACTGAGCAACTACATGGAAAACTTTAAAATGCAAGCTGTTATTTTGAAGTATGCAGATAGTTTCCTGTACTGCGTGCTTTTGTTTCCGTCACAAATCCAATCCATCATGTACCCAGAATGCATCGCTTCAGTTTTCCAACAAACAGTTTTAAAATTACTTTATTGATGCTTCTTTAATGAGAAGTCTACAACAAACAAAAGAAAAAGATAAAGAAGCAGCCGAACTAGCAATCCTCAACAACTTTTTAATTTTTACACCAGGAGCTAAAGGTCTGATTCAGGAAATTACATCCCCAGCAATCAGCAGTTATAGAATTAAGTTATAAAATAGTTCATACACTGCTAGTTGACAGTGTTGTGCATATATTGTACAAGAATTGTTGACAGCTAGCAAGTGTCAAATTGAACTTGTGCTTTAAAATTAGCTTCTGCTATTTTTTCTATGGCATAAGTGCTTTTGAAGTAGCAGACCTAAATGTTTTCATAAGCGCTTTAGAAATTGCGTAGCTAATTTTTGGATTAGTGCTGSCCACCACTGATTAAACCTTTAGATGCATTTAAATGTAGGTAAACATTATTTTCACTGTGATTAGAAGAAAGTTTTTCTATGCTTGTTTTTGTATTACATAACTGATATTTTGTATCAACAAAAGTTAGTATGATTAGAAATATGAGAGAAATATGAGTATTTTGAATAAATGTTACAGATGGGTGTTTTTTATTTTATTCTTATTTAATGCATGCAAGCTCTTTACTCTTTATACATACAAAAGAGAAGATAAATACAAACTTTATTGGCCCAGAGTCTGGTTGAAAGTATGCAGCAATGCAGATACAATCAGTATAAGAGTCGAACCCTAAAAAGATGTTCTTGGATATATTTTGATCTGTAACACAATAAAGGGTCAAGAGTTATTCTGCAGCTCCTGCTGCAGACCTTAGTAGCTTGAATMAGAGCAGCTGAGTTTTTTCCATGCCTCTTTTAATTTGAGCGTGGTAAGAGAATATCTCTGTTGTTGACTTCTGATCTGCCAGGGGGAACATCAACACGTTATGTGCTGTTCATCCAGTTAGTGGTTCTGTGTTCTGAAAGAGTCTTTCAAACAGAAAAGAGACAAGAGAGAGCAGCTAACATAACAGCTAGGAAGGCAGGAGGAGGAAAATGAAAGCAGCATATTTGTGACCCATCATATCGAAATGAGGATTAAGTCAAATT